ACTTGGGCATCTGAATGCCTCATCTTTAGACTGCACACAAAAACTCAACAACTAAAAATCCAGAACTTTTGCCAGACGTGGTAGCACACGCCTTTAATACCATCACTCGGGAGGCAGAGGCAAGTGGGTCTCTGAGTTCGAGGCTAGCCTGGTCTATAGAGTGAGTTCCAGGACAGCTAGAGGTGTTACACAGAAAAACAAAAAAACAAACAAACAAAAAAACCTGTCTTGGAAAACAAAAACAAAAATCTAGAACTTTCACTTCAACAGCTGGGCAGCTGTGAGACCTCTAACCTCTCCCGTCAGTTACAGGAATCGATTTGTGACATAAACTTGTGTTCTGTCACCAGAAGTCACGCTGAAGGGATCAATGACCATCTTGTGAGATGCCCATGTGGCTAGAGGCAGCCAAACAAGAAGTCCTCAGTCCACAGTTCTGCAGGTGTAATGTGTGCACCCCCAGAAGCGATTGGGCAAGGTTCACCATGATGTGCTAGAGTCAGTCAAGGGCATGAAAACTGCTCTGAGTCTCAACCACGGCTGAGACACAAGAGCACCCTAAAAGATTACTCCTACCTGTCTCGAAAAGGTCTTGCTCTGGCTTTTTCCAGCTTACTGTCCCTCTCTCTTTGCTCCTATCATGAGGCCTGGACTTGGTGTTCTCCTCACTGAACCCCAAAATCATGCCTTGATACCAAGACAAACAATAAAAAACTGCTTCGACCACTTAAATTTGTTTTACATTTATATATTTGGATATGAGTGTGCCCACATACTATTGACAAGTGTGTGGAGGTCAGAGGGTGATATGGGGGAGCTAGATCTAATATATAGGATGTGGGGATCCAAATAAAGTCATCAGGTTTGGCAGCAAGTGCCTGAGCTCAGTTTCTGTAACGTACCGCCAGGGTAATGCAAAGCCATCTAGCTAGCCCTTGACCACTTTCTTCCTGGGAAGTATGTTACCTAACACCTACTGCCAGGTGCAGGGTTTACATCCTTCCTTCCCAACCAAAGGACTACCTCTCCTCACCCAGAGCAACAGGCCTGTCCACAAGCAAGTGCCTTCCTGGCTGAGAGATGCTGCTCTCAACTCCTGGAGGTTTCTGGTCTGGTCACAGACATTCAGTCAAAAGATAAAGATGGCATGAACACTATGAAAGACAAAGACTGACACACCTTGAGAAGGACAGGCAGTACGGTGACCCGATGTATTCTTGTCTACATGAACATAAAACTAACTGAACCTTCCTTATCCTCCCTATCAAAGTACATGGCTTTAGTACCTCTCAGTGTGGACTTGTTATCATGTCACTAGTCAGGGAGGAGAAATAAACCCCTGTGCCTTTTGTCTAGGGTGATGTATGTGATGGTTAGAGAGACAAGAGTTCAAATAGCTTCTTTGATATCAGATTACATCATGAGCATAGCTTCATCACTAGAGAAATTAGGTTAGAAACCATTAGCAATCCCAGGGTAATCATCCACAACAGGGACAAAACTTTCTCTTGCGAAGCCAGTGTTTTATGCACCTTTCTCCCCCTACATGATATCAAAGATAGCCCTTTTCAGTGTAATTCTTCACTTCTGGGTAAAATGTGCAACCTTCAGATGGCAAGGACCACAATAATTCTGGGAACTGCAATGTGTAGTAGCAGACATACCTTAAGCAACATCAATATGAAAATGGACTTCCAGGCTCACAAACTCTAACTGCACAGCAAATGAGAAGGCAACGAACAGCCACTTTCCCTGACAACCGATCTCATGCAGAGCCCATATGGTGGCTCACAACCATCTGGAGCTCCAGGTCCAGAGGATCTAACAGCTTAAACTCCTTTGGCCTTGTGACCATCCCACTGCACTTCAGACCTCTGAGCTCCCAGAAACTTGCTTTGTTTCACTGGCCACAGCCCAGAGTGCTAACCCCAATCAGAGCACACACCTGGTAGTTTGGTCATTATTCAAATGTGACATCATTATTCCCGTTGTCAATCAGTACATCAAAATTGACATAGCACAAACAAGACATGTCTTCTATCTTCTTCAGTTACAAAGATCCTATGCTAACTAGTTTTATGTCAACTTGGCACTAGAGTCATCAGAGAGCCTCAATTAAGAAAATGCCTCCATTAAAGCTGGGCTGTAAGCAAGCCTATAGGACGTTTTCCTAATTAGTGACTGATGTCAGAAGGCCCAGCCCATTGTGGGTGGGGCCACCCCTAGGCTGTTAGTCCTGGCTGAGCAAACCAGGCAAGCAAGCCAAAAGCTACACTCTTCAATGGTTTCTGCATCAGTTCCTGCCTCCAGGTTCCTGTGCAGTTTAGTTCCTGCCCTCATTGCTTTTGATGATGAATTGTTATATGGAACTGTGAGTGAAATAAACCCTTTCCTCCCCGAGTTGTTCTTGGTCATGGTGTTTCATCACAGCAATAGTAACCCTAACTAAGACAGCCCTTTTGCCCTCTCTTCAATTCACAGTGGTTCTACTTTTGGGCTTTGTCTTACTCCAGATATATTTAGAAAACATCCAGAAAATACTGACTACAACTACTTTAAGTAGGTATGACTCGACTATTTTGCTATGAAACTTGAGTCACATTTGAGTAATGAAATAAACAGAAACTAAAACGCAGAGCAAACACAAGAGTCATCTCTTTACTGTCTGTAGTGTCCTCCACTTGGGAAAGCACACCTTTGCAACTTTCTGACTCTCAGAGAACAAATGGCAATACTCCATTTGTAGCAAGAATGACTTACTTCCTTCTTAGAGAAGACCATTCTCTTGACCAGGTGGTTAGTACAAAAAATAAAAGCCAGAGGAAGAGTATATAATACGCTAATGTGGGAGCACTTTATTATCTCTAAGGCCCCAAAACAATGCAAAGTAGGATTTGAGTCACCTCTGACACCAAGCACTTAACCCAGTTACAATCTTCCCACGGTTCTAATAGGTGCCTGGAGAATGTCAACTTGTATACAGCTGTAGAAGCCAGCAGCAGAACATTTAAGAACAAACCCTCACAGAGCTAGGAGGGAATCCAGTGGCCACTGGAACCCTGGGAGACACTTTACAGAACACCCTCACCCCCACACAGCCCTTCCAGACTTGAGTTGTCATTTATGCTGCACTGGGACAGAGCCTGAGGAAGAGTAGCCCCCCTTCTTTTCACTGCTGAAGGTCTGACCGTAATTTTGCTTTTACATCACCAGGGATGCTGTCTTCCTGTAAGTACTCAGGGTCCTCTTCCTTGCTCAGGAATTGCTCTAAAGCAATAAAATCCCTCCTGCACAGCAGACCTTGGGCCCTTCCCTGCCAAATCCTTCTCTGGGGACGAAACATCAGAGCCTACCTTGCTGGCCTGGAACTTCAACTTGCAGCAGTCTCTGTTGTGTGGCACTGCAGGGTACCTGCCGCTGCCCTCAGAGTATATGAAATTCCAGGAGATAGGTAATCATAGGTAATAAATGTGTCGCCCTGTATGCATTAGGATCTATTTATGGCTGACCTTGTTTTAGACAGAAGAAAAAAGCTCTGCATATTTTCTTGCCAGAAACATGAGAGAATGCTTTACAAGTATTGCTTACAAGCATCATCATCGTACTTAACATCAGTCCTGCTGCAAACACATCCTGACAATTAGATAATGAGCCTAGAATCGACTTTCTGACCTAGGATAGATGAGTGTTAAGAACCCAGAATGAGTGAGCTGTTCTAAATAAAAGGATTCGTGTGTTTCTTTGAGAAGAGTCAATGTTAAAAATGTCAATTCCAGAAACATCAATTTGAGCTATTTAAGTGTGTTACAGGAAAATTCTGTCCTTGCAAATCATTGCTCGGTACTTTAAAATATAGCTAAACCAGGGCTGGGGCTAGAGCTCAGTGGGAGAGTGCTTGCTTATGCCATGTGGAGCCTCACGTTCAATCTTCAGCACTGCAAACCCAAACCGAAAAATCTAAACCAAACTAATTGATGGGAGCAATCCAAATTATCTTAAAGCTTTTTAGTAGTGGTATACGCGCGCGCGCACACACACACACACACACACACACGCACGCACACACACACACACACACACACACACACGACACGTAGATTAATTCTTAAAGCCTTTCTTCCAAACATATTAGAATATTCAGCCATTTTGGTGAACAGTTAGCCAAAAGGAAAACACGAGAAACTGGAGGTAAAAGTCATTTGGAAAGCTAGCATTTTTTTTTCCTTACAATTCAACGGCAAGAGAATGCCAGGGAATTCCTGTCTGTGCGCATCAATAGCTTCATAATACCAATGCTATTTAAATAAATTTCAAACTTAGTTTGTAGGCAGCGATCCTGATTTTAACACTCATCTGTTTTTCTCTGAGACACGGTCTCACCATGTAGCCTTTGGCTTTGGCTGGCCTGGAACTCGCTATGTACGCAAGGTTGGCCCCGCGACTCGGAAATTCACCTGCTTCTGTCTCCCGAGAGCTGAAATTTAAAGGCATGCGCCATCACGCCCGGCTGCTTTAACACTCCCGAAGGTGTCTGGAACCCCGTACTTTGTTATGAAACCGACCGGCGCCACCTGTCACAGAGCTCGATCACATTTTTCCCTCGGCCACCTCACTGTCATCAGTGGGCTAGACCGTGCTGCTAAAGATAACTCGAGGCTTGACATTAGTTCGCAGGGCCGGGTCGAGGCTCGCCGCGGGAGAGCGTGGCCAGCGCGCGCGTCCGCGGGGCCCCGGGAGCCCAGGGCGGAGTACTTACGTGGAGCCACCTGGGCGCCAGGGCTGCAGGTCTGAGAGGCGGCAGGTGTGCCGCGGGTGGGCGGCCGAGGCCCCCAGCATCCCGCCGGACCCCGGGGCGCTGCCCCGCACCTGCAATGCGGCTCCTACTCCGCCCGGGCCGGCGGTTGCGGCCGTTGCGCCGCGCCTCCCCCGCCACGCCGAGGCGCATCCTGGCTGCCAGCCCCGAGGGCGAGCCTCCCCATCCGCGCAGGTGCGCGCCTCACCTGCCACGCTCCCTCAGGCGGCTGCGGCGCTCGGCCTGCTCCTCGCGGTGGCCCGCGGCCCATGGGCAGGGGCGGTCGGAGCCGGGTGCGCAGCGGCCCTGCCGCGGGGCACGGAGACTCAAGAGACGCCGCCCGGTCGGCGCATCCCGCCCGCTCCCTCAGAGCGCTCGCCGCGGTGCACGCCGGGAGCCGTTGGCGGCCGGGTTGGTCCTGTCTGAGGGGAGGCTGCGGCGCCGACGCGGCGGCGGTCTGCTACTGAGGAGAGGACCGGGCGGATCGATGCTATCTCTGCAGAAGGGAAGGGGGGCGCCGCCCCGCTCCCTGCGCCTGCGGCAGGGCAGAGGCGAGGGCAAGGAGGAGGAGAAAAGAAAAAAAAAAAAACCCGAGAGATGTTAGTAACACGCAAGCGCACTGCTCAGGTGCGGCCGCACTGCGGTTGCCCTTGGTAACCAAGGCGGGGTGGGGCGGGGACAACGAGAGGTGGAGAAGCCCAGCGGGAACGCGCGTGCGTGCCTGTGCGGGGCGGCGGGGACTCGAGCAACTGGGCACGCATGCGTACCGCGCCCCTCGTGGTCTCCCCGCCCCTCTCGGGGGGGGGCTGGCCGGCCTCGCGCGTGCGCACGCGCGCCGTCTCCCCCCGGAGGCGTCTGGGTGAGCGGAGCGCGGGCGCGCGCGCGCGAGGCTCGGAGGCGCACCTGTGAGGTGTCCCCCGGAGAGGGCCGGTGGGCGCGCGGAGTCCGCGGCCTAGACGCGCTCCTCCGCCGCACTTGGGAGTGAGTTGGGCCGGCCGACGGTAATGTGTGTCTGTCTGTCTGTCTTGGCTCTTCAGGACGGGGCGTGGGCCGACGAGCGGGCTAGGGGCGGAAGGCGGTGGAGTCGGGGGCTGAAGAAAAGGAAAACAACCCATCACTCAGCCGGGCCTGGGCCGCGGGCATGGCGGGGAGGGAAGGTCAGCGCGGCGCCCGCTGCGGCACGAGCCCGGGGCGAGGCTGGACAGTCCCCGCGGGAACTGAACTCCCGGGCCGGGCCCCATTGTTGTCGGGGCCGAGGCGGGCGGGAGCGCCGCAGCCCTGGGAGCCGAGGGCCGCGCCCTGGAGCGGATCCAGGCGGGTCCCGGGAGAGCGGTAATGGCCGCGCGCGAGCCGGGGCACGGGGGGCGCGGAGCGGCCCGCTGCATGGCGCTGTGTCCTGTCGTTTTCCAGCACTGCGCAGCCCCGGCCGAGGTCGCCCAGCATCCCGCCGAGGTGATGAGGACCTCCCCGCTGCCCCAGCAAGTCCGGCTGCCGCCGCCGGACGCCTCCATTGTTTGACCACCGCCTGGGCCCGGCTCCCCGCAGGTAAGCCGGCCGGTGGGACGCGCAACTCCCCTGCCGCCGCCGAGCCCCATGCGCCCTTCTCCCTCACGGCCTCCGCGTCTTCAGCCAGGTCGTCGCTCTCCGCGAATTCGGGCTTCTTTGTGAGTCCTTACTGGCCAAACTCCCCCCAAGTCGGTCTCGGGGTTGCGCCTGTCCCCATCGAGAGTTTATAGTGTGCCTGTTGCAACAAAGGAGTCCCGGGATTGGAAGTCACAGTCCCAAGCCGGTGCCTCCTTGCCAGGGACAGTGTGTGCCCTTTAAAGCTTGTATGGTTTTAGAGGGGTGGAACTCTCAGAGCGGGCCTGGCCTCTACTTACTCGGTAGGTGTGTGGTTTCCCAGAGAAGAAAAGTAGTGACATCCTGTACCACCTCCAGGTTAAGATTTAGAAATTAATTGTAGATGAGCAGAGAAAGATGTTTTCTTGTAAAAGAGCATGTGTCACCGATGACAAGTCCGTTAGCCCATCTCCAGCACGTGGTGTGTCTCCTAGATCTGTTAAAAGTTGTTTTATGGGAGGGCTTTCCGTCATGTTGAGTCTAACTGGTTGTGCATTTTTTCATTTTACCCTGTAATGTTTTTTTCAGAACGGTGGCCTGATGCTCTAGAATGTGGGCCTATCATTACTTGTTTAGTCATGTCTAACAGTGATGGCAATTGAAGATTTAATCTAAAGAACAACTTTTAAAAATCAAGGAAAAGCCTAGTGTCATTCTATGGTAAGATGGAATTTTATTGGAGGAAGCTACAGAACTATGCTAACTGTAGACTAGAAACATTTAATATGGGGGCTTCCTTGATTAGAAATTTGCTCTCAGCCCTCCCCGAGGGGATTGCAGACTGTTACTGTGCTTGTGACCTCGAGGAGGACGCTCAGAGCCTCAGTTTCTATACAGGTCTATCTGCTGCACAGACCTCAGTGAAGCCATGTGAAAGTTGGAGAGTTATTCGTCTTGGTGATACACAGCTCCCGCCTTGCAATGTAATTTGTCTATCTTTTTCATCAGATGAGCATAGCATAAACTACTTATGACGGTCAACTTTGAAGCTTTTAAGTTTTTTGTCTTGTTAAAATTTTTATGAAATGCTGACAATAGTGTGTTTGTAATGAATATTTTACAAGGCACATGTTTTTCTATTTAAACAAAAGTAAAGCACATTAGTTAGTTGGCTGGATCAGAGTGTCTGCAGTCTGCTTAGCTAAAAATCTTGCTTCAACGACGTTTAAACAAACTTATTCTTCCTGTTGTACATTTTCTGCATGCTTCCTGTGGCCATGGAAGGTTCAGGTTACCTTAGTCCCTTTCAGGAAAAGGAACTCCTTTGTAGGTGCATCAGAAAGTTTTACTGTCTGAGATAGTGATGAAATGGAGTAACATTTTAAGATACCGTCAATTCAGTCAACACCTTTTGTAGCTGTGGGTTTTTGTTTTCTTTTTCATTCAGTTATATGTGAGTTCCTAGAGCAATCTAAGAAAACTAATTTGTTCTTGTTCTCTCTCTCTCTCTCTCTCTTTTGTTTTGTTTTTTTTTTGTTTTTTTTTTTTTTTACGAGACAGGGTTTCTCTGTATTGTTTTGGAGGCTGTTGGACCAGCCTGGCCTCGAACTCACAGAGATCCGCCTGCCTCTGCCTCCCGAGTGCTGGGATTAAAGGCGTGCGCCACCACCGCCCGGCCTAGTCTTGTTCTCTTAAAAGTTTGTGAATTGTAGAGTGACAAACTAAGCTATCTGCCTGGAAAGTTAGGTAGCACCTTCTGTGAGCGAGCATACAAAGGAGGACCACATTTTAGATCGAGGGCCCTGAATGATTCCTCCATCCCCCAAAACAAAATTTAGGCTGGGATTTGAGAGATGAGTAAGCCCTGGTGTCAGTGAAGTAGGGGATAATTTTCCAGCAGAGGAACACCATGTGGGAAGGCCTTAAAGGGAAGGAAAGTAGTGCTGTTGTAGGATCTAAGGCGTTGCTGCATGGTGCTTAAAGGGAGAGTAACCTGAGGGAGTAGGGGGAGGCAGATCATGTATGGCCTTCACTCAAAGGGCAGGTTAGAAATTTGGTTTTTAAACAACCTCTCCAGTTGCCACATGCAGAGAGTTGAAGTAGGAAGACTACACTGGCCATTTCACTGTGCTCTTGGAGGAAGGTCAGCCTTTTTCCAGCTCATGGTGAATTCTGACCACTAGTTAAAGTGAAGCCAAAATAGATGTTTTTTTTAATTTATTTAAAGATGTATTTATTATGTAATGTTCTGTCTACATATCAGAAGAGGGCACTATGTCTCATTATGGGTGGTTGTGAACCACCATGTGGTTACTGGGGATTGAACTCAGGACCTCTGGAAGAGCAGCCAATGCTCTTAACCTCTGAGCCATTTCTCCAGCCCCTGTTTTTTTTTTTTTTTTCCAAGACCCAGGGTTTTTGTTTTGTTTTTTTTAGAGATGGGATTCAATAAAAGCAAGAGCAAAAACAGTTTTCCCCCTCTCTAGGACCTTCTAGGTGCCAGGCATATTCTCTGTCATTGGGTATATGTTCCCAACCAAAAAGACACCCTGAAACACACACACACACACACACACACACACACACACACACACACACACATTTTCCAGAGGATCTAGATTCAATTCCCAGAACCCGCATGACAGCTCACAACTGTCCAGTTTCTTCCCTCTTTGGGCAGCAGGAATGCACATGGTACACAAGCAAACATGCAGGCAAAACACTTATAGAATAAAAATAAGGAACTGTCCAAATTTCACAGTTCCTGGGGGTCATCAATGTGTATAAAGCTCTGACAAGATCAGGAATTGCTGAAGACAATCCTGGGAAAGCTTGGTACTTCTGTATGGGGGGATAGTGTGTTGGCTTGGAAAGAGGTAGCCTGGATAGGTGTCTGTAGTGCACTGTTGAACAAAGACACAAACTTCCTTCTATTTTTGTAACATACAAAACAAAATAATTATGTTTGGGTAAAAACAGAAGGCTATCTAGAAGAGGCCGTGAAAACTGTGGTTGATTCTGCAGGGGATCATTGAGAGCCAGTTTCCCTTCTTTGTGCTTTTGCACTTCCTGGTGTTTATGTGAACATTGACTTGGAGTAAAGAGGCTGTAAGTTCTGTGTGTTTAAAGGGTACAGTACTAGTGGTATATTCTTGTGCTATATTGGCCATATAATTCAAGTAACACAGTACTTGTGTTTCTTGGCATGGGAACCATTAAAGGAATTTTTTTCTTTTTGATTTTTTGAGACAGGGTGTCTCTGTGTAGCCTTGTAGACCAGGCTGGCCTTAGACTCAGATACACCTGCCTCTGCCTCCTGAGTGCTGGCATTAAGGACATGTGCCACCACTGGCCTGCTAAGAGAATGTTTTTAAATATAGTAAAAAAGAAAAGTCTTATGTACAAAATATGTAGAATGATCTTCAGGGTTTAGTTGTAAAATGGTGATGATATATTTACTAAATAATGCTGCTACTCAAAATGTATGCCAAGGAAATACCTTTAAAAGCTTATGACTATTAAATAGAGGAAAACCAGGACGCAGCTACAGACATAGTATAAATACACAAAAATTTCAGTAATCTTCCACTAAAACCTATGAATGGAAAACTGTCTATGAGAAATTAAATGAAAATCTTAAGAATTGTGGACTTTGGGTATTAAGGTTTTGAGCTACTTGAAAATATATCTGTCCTTTTATAGTTACGGAAGTTGTATTTACAATGAAATGTTTAGTTTTACAAATTACATTATATCAGGGACCTGTTAGCTGCATAATAAAAGAATGACTTCTTTCATCCATCCATTCATTCATTTATTTTGAAGCAGGGTCTCTCTGTGTAGTTCTGGCTGTCTTGGAACTCACTGTGTAGACCAGGCTGATCTTGAATGCACAGAGATCCTCCTGCTTCTGCTTCCCAAGTGCTAGGATTAAAGGCATGCACCATCACACCCTGTTGTGTGTTCTTTTAAAACCATAGACATTTGGAAATTACAATGTAAGTGGATGGAACTCATTGAGAAATTGTAAGCAGCACATAAGAACAACCTGATGTTTTAGAAAGGTTCCATTATAATGGGGGAGGGAGGGAAGGAGGGAGGCTTTGGGAGAAATAGGTGGTGAAGTAAATGATGTGTTTAGAGAAGCCTGGTAAGGTAGAGTGTACAGGGCTTGGTAGATGAGGTAGATGGTGCCTGGACTTCTGGCTTGGACAGATGAAAAGACAGAGGGTTCCATTTAGCAAAATAGGTGCAATAATGAGACTTGGGCTTGGACCCACTGAATTGAGGGTCCAAGAAACTATATACCGGTCACAAAGCCTCCAGGAAGGCTTTGTGAGTGAGTGTCTCTTTGCTTTCTGAAGTGTAGTGCTGAGCTTCGTTATTGAAGTTGTTTCTCTGTAGTAATTTGTTTTTGAAATACAATTATACATTGCAAATTGTTTAAGCCAGGACATGTCTGTACAACTTAGCCTTCATCGTTGATGGAATTGTCAGATAGAATTATTGCAGATGTTCTGACTCTGACTTTGGGTTTTGTTTGGGTAGTCTGGGGTGCTTTGGGCATTAGTGGCCCTGCTTTCAGTCTTCTCTGACAAGAGTAGTGTGTCAGAGTGATTCTGTAATGCTGATGAATGGTAAAGAAGGGACAAGACATAGAGTGGCACTCTGGCTCTGCTTCCTGAGGGCTATACCAGCTTGGCCCTTAGAGACAGATAGGGCTTTAGGAGTTGGTCATTTTCTTTAAAGGTCACATCTTTAAGAGCAGTTGAGCCCATGTGGAGCATAGTGAAGACATACTGGGCCACAGCTGGGCATCTATGTCACAGAGGACAAAGCCTCTTTCTGCAAAATAACCAAAATGCTTCTGGGAGAGGAAAGAGGGTGGTGTCACCAGATAGAGAGTATAAGAGGGGCAAGGGGCTTTCTGAGAAGGACAGCATAAAACTGAGTTTGTGTTCTGGCGTCATACGAGGGTCAGTGTG